TGACAGCCGTGCCTCAGCCACTAAGTGACAGCCGTGCCCCAGCCACTAAGTGACAGCCGTGCCTCAGCCACTAAGTGACAGCCGTGCCTCAGCCACTAAGTGACAGCCGTGCCCCAGCCACTAAGTGACAGCCGTGCCCCAGCCACTAAGTGACAGCCGTGCCTCAGCCACTAAGTGACAGCCGTGCCTCAGCCACTAAGTGACAGCCGTGCCCCAGCCACTAAGCGACAGCCGTGCCTCAGCCACTAAGTGACAGCCGTGCCTCAGCCACTAAGTGACAGCCGTGCCCCAGCCACTAAGTGACAGCCGTGCCTCAGCCACTAAGTGACAGCCGTGCCCCAGCCACTAAGTGACAGCCGTGCCCCAGCCACTGTGACAGCCGTGCCTCAGCCACTAAGTGACAGCCGTGCCTCAGCCACTAAGTGACAGCCGTGCCCCAGCCACTAAGTGACAGCCGTGCCCCAGCCACTAAGTGGCAGCCGTGCCTCAGCCACTAAGTGACAGCCGTGCCTCAGCCACTAAGTGACAGCCGTGCCCCAGCCACTAAGTGACAGCCGTGCCCCAGCCACTAAGTGACAGCCGTGCCCCAGCCACTAAGTGACAGCCGTGCCCCAGCCACTAAGTGACAGCCGTGTCACGTCCAAGTCGTGCCGTATAAATCCGTGTCACATAACGTAACTCACATAACACAAGAGACATATCCCCTGCACGACGCCAGCAACCACACCATCACCATCAACCATAATGACATGATTGATGGTGTGCTGTAATACGGCAGCTTGTTGGACGATGATATATTGGTATATGGTATATCACCAGTGACTATGGTATATCACCAGTGAACTATGGTATACTGTTTAACACATCAGCAGGTATGGGACTTGTCGAAGGCTGCAGCTTACATTAATCAAATTACAACCATCATAAACAAGTAAGACGATGATAAAAAATGAATAATAATAATGAATGATTATTATTTTACAACTGTAAATAAAATGAATATAATCAGGCAAAATGGAATTAATAATACAAAATATTCACATAAACCGTAATTATGACTATATATACATACAAAGTGAAAGCATGTTACCGTAGGTATATCAAGAAGCCCATTTTCTATACGCCGAGAGGTGTACCTCTCTCTTCTGGGTGTATATTCACTGAGAGTTTAGTATAATCTTGTAAGTATACTTACTGGTTGGTCACTAAGCTATGGTCCGAAGAAGGCCTATTAACCCATACGATGCAGCTCATATTTATATCTACCCAAAATTCATTCATATATATGTCTAGCCTACGCTAGAAATACTCCAGTGACCCCACGTCTATTATGTTCCCCGGTGATTGGATCCACATAAAAACCACCCTATTGCCAAACCAGTATTTACCCAGGACTTTCCTGAATCCAAACATATCCAAATTATATGTATTGTTTCGAGTTTTGTTTTTGTGTTGATATGTTTAAAATCGTATTACATCCCCCCCCCCTTAGGCCTTAGGTCCAACATTAAACAACAGATAGGCTGGTGGTTACAGTAATCACATCGTATCAGCAAGGCGGACAGCCCGCCTGCTTTCATACCTCTCACTGTATTTCCCACTTCTACACTTCCCTTCACCTATGCCTCTCCTTCCTCTTTACTCGGTCCTAAGCACGGCCTAGGGTCAATATGTGTGTGTGTGTGTGTGTGTGTGTGTGTGTGTGTGTGTGTGTGTGTGTGTGTGTGTGTGTGTGTGTGTGTGTGTGTGTGAGTGTGCAGGGGGGAGGGGGCTACGCTAGCTCCAGGTCCCTAAATTAATACTGAAATATCAATATCGGTGCACGGATGCATGTTGAATCCATTAATGAGATGTCAGTTAGTGTATTCACCTAGTTTGTATTCACCTAGTTGTGCTTGCGGCTGTTGAGCTCTGCTCTTTCGGCCCGCCTCTCAACTGTCAATCAACTGTTTCTACTACTACTATATTTTTTTTTACACCACACACACACACACACCTCAGGAAGCAGCCCGTGACAGCTGACTAACTCCAGCCAGCCGTGGCCAGCAGCCAGCCGTGGCCAGCAGCCAGCCGTGGCCAGCAGCCAGCCGTGGCCAGCAGCCAGCCGTGGCCAGCAGCCAGTCGTGGCCAGCAGCCAGCCGTGGCCAGCAGCCAGCCGTAGCCAGCAGCCAGCCGTGGCCAGCAGCCAGCCGTGGCCAGCAGCCAGCCGTAGCCAGCAGCCACGGTGGGAAAGCCTCCCCCCCCCCCTCCCCAGGGTAGTGAACGCTAATTACACCAATTTTCCCAACCACATAATTGTATGATCTTTTAAGCGAATCTTTGTTCCCCTTTACGTTCTCTCCTTCCTTGTGTTACTGGTCGGTCGGTCCTTCCTTGTGTTACTGGTCGGTCGGTCCTTCCTTGTGTTACTGGTCGGTCGGTCGGTCGGTCGGTCGGTCGGTCGGTCGGTCGGTCTCTCTCTCTCTCTCTCTCTCTCTCTCTCTCTCTCTCTCTCTCTCTCTCTCTCTCTCTCTCTCTCTCTCTCTCTCTCTCTCTCTCCCGTTCGGTGCCTCACTTACCATCACCTTAGATATCACTGCATTAGATAACTCTGCCTTAGATATCATCGCCTTAAATAATACTGCCTTAGATATCTACTGTGTATACATAGTATTATAGTAGTATACAAATCTGTCGTGTATCACTAAATGAACCCCACCAACACCTGTCGTGTAGCACTTAATGAACCGCGCCACCACCTGTCGTGTATCACTAAATGAACCCCACCAACACCTGTCGTGTAGCACTTAATGAACACACCAACACCTGTCGTGTACCACAAAATGAACCACTCTCTAGTTCTATAAGTTTCCCTTCGAAGTCTTTATATTCTTATTATCATTATAAAATCATTTTACCCAACTATTGCAGCGAGTTGTGTTTACAAGTGTGTAGGTGAGGTAGGGATTAATGCAGACGAGGAGTCACAATAACGTGGCTGAAATATGTTGACCAGACCACACACTAGAAAGTGAAGGGACGGCAACGTTTCGGTCAGTCCTGGACCATTCTCAAGTCGATTGTGGATTAATCGTCCGGACGACGCCTCAAGAACGGTTGTGTGAGGGTTCGGGTCTCTAGGATACGGTCCGCTCGCCAGCGATGCACTCACCAGCTCCAGAACTGTGTCAGTCTATGGGGTAATTTAACATTACCAAATGCGCTTCATGCGATGGTAATGTAGTTCTGGCTGTGTTCACCGTGATAAGGAGGGCGGTATAACAGGAGGCATGGCGGCGGAAAATTACCTATTAACTCACTTTTATATAGACGCAGGTGCGTCCCGCGCCGTAGACTACGGTCTGATGGGCAAACTTTCCTCACACTCAGTACGGGGGTTAAACTATACAGACGCGTACTGTTTTCTTTAGTAATCAGACCAAAGTCGATGATGGCTGCTTAGCCATACGGTCTGGTTAATGTAGTGTAATGTAAATTTATGTAATTTGGTCACATGAAAAATCAAATGTACGTACTATGGTGGGTAAATGTTGAGTGAACGGTGGGTTGAGACGTATTCTCTGCATAAAGTATTCATTTATGTTCGCCTGGCTGGACCGTTCAAGCTCACCGATCCTACCTTCCACCCTAGTGGCTTTGGTTCGAATCCTTGAGGGGGTCATTGAGAGATATATAAATTTTTTCTGTAAGATCCTATAATTGTTCGCCAGTATAACCGAGACGCTGTACAACGCTTGTGTTTTGGTTTCCTATTGTCGGTGACTGAAAGCATGTTCGTGGTCACCCAGCCAGTTACTGGCAAGACTCAACGGTGCTTACTTATCACGGCTTATCTATCAGTTATACGGGGATAAGATAACAATCGGAGAAAGCGCCAAGCCATTATGGCTATAGCACTGGGATGGGATCAAGATAAGGATTTGGGACGGGGGTGAGACTTTTATGTTCCGGTCTAACGGGGCATAAAGGTGTAGAGGCCAACTGATGCGCACACAATCCATTCATGACGTAATAGCCCCAGATACAGTTAAGTAGTTACATCTCATATGTACGGGTAAATATGGAGGTTGCGTGACTGCAAAATCAATATGAAAATATTTCTAACAGCAGTGCAGCCTAGTTATAAAATAGTATACCAAACATTTATGTTCATAGAAAATGGGTACGAACACTGACCGATATACAGTTCTATGTATAACTAAAACAAAATAAAGAACTGGAAACTCGCATTGATTCCTGGTACACGAATGAAGTTTAAAGCTTAAATATGTAAATTAGCACCACTTACAAGTCATGTGAATAGATGTAAATAGAAATCATCACGTACGTCCATAGAAAAAATTAGAAACTGCGTTCACGCTTCAGAATGTTCTGATAACGTTGTACCAAAGTGGAAATTTCTCTACTCCCACTTGTTCCTTTGTCTGTACTCTTGTTTCTGTGAAATCGATTACAATGGGATTTGTAATATGTTCACTGTCTAACTCCCCAGGTACCTATTTACTGCTAAGTGAACAGGTGTATCAGGGTGAGAGAAACTGCCCATTTGTTTCCGCCTCCGTCGGGGATCGAACCCGAACCCTTAGGACTACAAAGACAAGAGCGCTGTCAATTCAGCCGTCAGGCCCCCTCCCTGAACTGAGGAGCCCTGATACTGAGCTCTGAACCTACTGGACCTCTCTGTCAAGCTATTACCAACCACATAAGTTGCAGTAGGCTCAACCGAATTATCCTGGTTTCTATTTCTGGACAGGACGAGCCGTTTGGGCATGATTATTTTAACCGGATGCCTCTGTTCACCTAGCAGTAAATAGGCACCAGGGCGTTAGGCAAATATTATGGATTGTATTCCGGGAAAGATCAGTCGCTGGCCAGGGAGAGACCTCGGTAAATTGAACAGATCTTCCTGTCCCCGACACTGGTAAATGAACTGTACTGTTACTTCAGCTTCTCCCATATTGTTGTTTCCTTAACAAGTAAACAAATTTGTGTATACTCACTATGGCTCGGTCTTGGGTCTGTACCCTCCTCCTGCCTCCATGTCTCTGTCCTTGCTGCTCTTCTCCAACTTCTCTTTCTTGGGCTTCTCCTTCTCCGGAAGTTCTCCTCCTGGGATGGACGACTCATCGGATTCGTTCTTCAGCTTTTTGTGCTTCTTGTTTTTGGCGTTCGGGCCCTTGGTGAAGGCGCCTCCTGTAGGGGAGAAGATCGCGGTCAGGGACACTTTGACACATCTCTTTGCTCTTTGTATACGTTGGTGAATTTTGTCAATTATTGTGTTTAGAGAAGTTGTCACAACCTGTCACCCAGTGGTGTCAGTATTGTGGGTACTTCAGTTGTTAAGTGTATTTAATACTTTATACTCAAGTGCTTCTAAGTCAAATACACGATTGATTTTTGCTTCAATACTGCGTTGCTAATCATGAGTGTGTTAATGCTATTACTGAATCTCTTGTTGATGCTGCCAGCCGTTCATTACTGCCCCTATACTAATGCTATTATTAACACTACTACTACTGCTGCTGCTGCTGCTACCTTTTTAACTATTACTACCAACAGTAGTATTGTAATTACTTATACTGGTATTGCCAATACTATGATCTTAACCCCCGTTAAACAACAGTTTTCTTGTAGAGCCATAATCACCACCGCCGCCATCACCAGGGAGCATCCATCACAACTACCACAAGCGGGTAATCATTACCACCACTATAACTAGCACCAGAACAACTATTACAACCACTACTAGAGCAAATATTACAACCATCACTACTACTACCAATAGAGAACAACCATTACGACCACCACCACCACCACCAGGAGCAACATACTACTATCACCTTCACCACCACCAGGGAGTAACATACTACTATCACCTTCACCACCACCAGGGAGTAACCATTACACCCACTATCACCACCAGAAGAGCAACTATCACTACCACCACCATCACCACTACAACGATAGAGCAACCATTACCACCACCACAAGGGAGCAACCATAACCACCATCCCATCCATCACCAGAAAGCAACCACTATCACCAGTAGGAAACAACCACCACCACCACCATCAATAAGGAGCAACCATTACTGTCACCACCACCACCATCAATAAGGAGCAACCATTACTGTCACTACCATCATCAGGAAGCAACCAAAGGGGTAAGGCAACTACAGGAATCGGAAAGAGAGAAAGATCTTGGAGTGGATATAACTCCAACAACAATACTGGTGGCACACATGAACAGGGTAACATCAGCAGCATGTGGGACGCTGGCAAATATAAGAAACCAAATATCATTTAGAAACCTAAAACAGGAATCTTCCATGGTAATCTAGACAACATTTGTTAAACCAATACTGGATTATGCAGCACCGGCGTGGAATCGTTACTTTGTGAAGCATAAAAGCAAAATGGAAAAAGTAGAGGGGTTAGCAACAAGATTTCCAGGATCTGCAGGATGGTACAAGAATTCAACCAACTACGAACCAGCTATTTTGATGAAAGGGAGCAGTAGAAAAACAGACGTACATTTACATCGCATCAGGCTTGGATACCCATGTGCATGGGAAATTGGCTTACAGAAGATGAGAGGAAATGTCAGCACTGTAGAGAAATGCCCGACAGACCACTGGAACATCATTTAACACAATGCAGATACAAATCAAATAAGATTTCAACTCAGATTCAACAGAGCAGAAGTTGTTAAACACATGGGGATAAATTCTTACTGAAGCGACCATACGAGTCATAAATATTCATACTCCACCCAAGTAAAACAGAAACAAGAAACACTTAGTGGGCCAGCCAGAGGCTTAGAGTCCGCGTTAGGAATATTCCTGGAAAAAAACAAGATTGGTACCAGAGTTAAGAGGGTTAAGCAATGAGGAACAAAAAATGGAACAGCTTAGTAAGTGATAGAGTTGCGATCGATACCGCGTATTTGTTTACAAATAGTAGATACAAATTGAAGTTGTCTCTTCTATTTGCAGTTGGAGTTGAAGTTGCAGAGACATATACGTCTCTTCAACTCCACTCTTTGTACTGTTTAAACCTCCTCCCGAAAGCTTTTAATAAACAGTCTACCATGGAACTAATATTCTGTTACTGTCTGAGTTCCTACCACTACCCCCAACCACCACCAGCTACCTGGTGAGGTCCCAGCTTACCTGTTGGCTTGGTGGACGCTGCCGGTGGGGAGGGGGGAGTGGGGGGCGGAGGGGGGTTGCCCGTGCCGTGGGAGGACCCAGGCAGATGGCCGTCCAGGGAGTCCCTCTCAGGATGGTCCGGGTACGCTGGAAGAGAGAGAAACACACCAGGTATTAGTAAGACACTGGCATGAACGAGACGGGTATAGTGGCAGGACTGGAGCCTGGTAAGATGTACCCAAGAATGCTGGTTGGAGGATGTGCCATGGGTGTTATAGCTGGCCGGTGGTTGAATTTTCGTAGCAAGCTGGCTCCATTTTAGTAGGCTGCTACTCCATTGTAGCAATAATTTGTTAACAAAATTACAATTTAATAAACTATTTACTTTTCTTTGGTGATTTAACTGTTTCGATATGTGTGAATTTCTCTTTATCTGTGTCTTGCTCACCTTGCTTCGATTTGAGTCGTTTTCCATGCGCGTGCTTCCGTGCGTGACCTGCTAGTATACGACCATCACTGTGCCATATTGTGAGTCTGTGTCGTCTCCTGTACGTCTCCTCGTCCATGCTCGCCCCTCTGTGTCTCCGTCAGCATATTTCTTTACCAGTGTAGTTATCAGTCTATGGCTGTCAGTCACAGCAACTGTCTTGTGCACATGTATGGCAGTATGTCTGTGTGTGTGTGTGTTGCCAGGTATAGTCTTCTGCCTTTACGGTATTTATTTATTTATATAACCCTCTTACCACACAATGTGCAAGAATATATCATTTTGTCATTTGAAAACTCTATACTGAATTTTTGAATAGAAACAGAAATGGCAAACAGAAAACAAAATGAGGAAAAAATGGGAGGGAACTGTGAGTAGGCCTAGAGAACTATCTCAAGTGCAATACCACCGGGTTCTCTTCTCCCACCTCAATGGGAGATTTTTTTTTTACTAACATATTTAGGTACATCTGCATTTATGCAGCTACCCTAGGCTATATGAAGGGGAGTACAATGTGTGGCGAGAAAGTTACACTAGTCAAGCTGCAAGCAGCCGCGTCCAACAGCCTGATTGACCAGACCAGTAACCAGGAGACCCGGTCAGAGATCGGGCCGCGGGGACGTTGATCCTCGAAATCAACACAAGGTAACCTCACGCTATACAGTATATGGCTAAAAGTAGACTCTAAGGGATTTGCGCGCTAAGTTCGAAATAATAATATAGAACCGTTCTATGTTGGTCTCTAGCGAAAGGCTTTCAGAAGCTGCAATTTAACTCAGATCATTCGAGACATCCTCTGGCATCAGATCTGTTTTTATCTGATTGGTTGATATTGGAAGTTTCGCACACAGTTTCGCTATCCCAACATGAAGCAAGCGAAAATTCCAGTTGGTACTGAAAACAACCACCAGAGGACAGCACAATAGTTTCCATAGGATTTTTGGACGTTATTTTTAGGGCATCAACCAAAGGAGGGTTTGTAGGGCCATGTCACTGACCATCCAATAAGAATATAAGCGACTTTAATCCTAAATGGCGTTCAGGACCAAAGTAAACTGAGAGGTGGTATACACCTGCCACTATACATATCCAGTCGCTCGATTAAATAAGCAGCCCGTAACATAGCAACCTCAAGACTTAATCAAGAAATATTCCCCTCCCTGGAGGCAGATAAGTTAACTATGGGCACAAATCCTCATGATGATTTAAATGATTATCATGATTTTACCTTTTGCACATTTAAGGTGTCATTGTGTCGTCCAGGCGCGGGTGTGGATGGGTAACCTTGCAAGACTGACTATCAACAGCTGCAATGATGTTCCGCGCCCGAGGAGAGAACAGATGACTTGTGGCAATGCACAGTGGTTTACTGTTTGGAGTGATCAGGTGTTCATCAAAGTGTTCACGGTGCCAGTGTTCAACGTGCCAGTGTTCACGGTGCCAATGGTCTAGGTGTTATAGCCACTAACTCCTACAGGTACTGTACAAGCCACAATAGACTGGCACTAAAGCAAGAGGGTATCAAAATGAATAGCCTAATATTTATAGTCCTTGATAATACCTGGCCGAATTTACCACAATAAAGTACTCTTTCCAGTACTAAGATGACTACCACAACAGGAGAGTTAGTGATTAAAACGACTACTGCAGAAAGTTACCTCAGCGACCAATACAAACGCCACTACAGCAAGAGTAGTATCTTACAGAACCAAATTCAGCAGGACTAGATCTTCCCTCCCCTCCACCTTCCTTCGCCCATCAGAAGAAGAGTACCTCTGAAGGAGTCGCTGGATGTGTGAGAGCCGGGGTGGACCAAGACACTCAGCCCATCCACCGACCTGTCCTCCTCCCTGTGCGTCCTGGAGTCCTGCTGGGCCAATGCACGCTGGTGGCCGCAGGTACACCTGGTGTGCTTGGGCGCCATCCCGGCGACGAAGGAGCAGTGCAACAGACGCATGCTGCCGTGTCCCCTGGCGTGCTCCCAGCAGCACAGGTCACAGGCACACTGCTCAGCACCAGCTCGCTCAAGTCTCTCTCATTTCGTCGCATTATCAAGTCTACCAGTGCTCCTCAGCTCTGTTTTAATTATGATAAAGGTTCATTGATCTAAAGGAAAGAATTGACTTGAGAATGGTCCAGGACGGACCGAAACGTCGTCGTCCCTTCACCTTCTAGTGTGTGGTCTGGTCAACGATCTAAAGGAAACATTTGTTTCTATATATTGCGTTTACATTTTAACAGTTAACGGATACCGTTTATATCTGTTTAGATACGTTTTAAATTTCTTCTCGGGAGATCATACTAAGCTACGACTAGTTTTTAATTTGCCATGAATAAATGTTCGCTATATATTCAGCTATCTCAAGATACTGCTAATGATTATGTTCGTCTTATGGATGTTAGATCAGAATTTATACACAATAATAAAGTTGTTATTTTTAACCACGGATTTTCCAATATCAAATACTTGACTATATCACAGATAGATTTATATTTAAATTGTCTCAAGCACCGCAAAGCATATTTAATGTTGCAAACTTAAATAATTCATGTCAATGATTTAGCTTTCTAAATAATATTTACTACGAATGCACTAATACAATTTTCTAATCCCAAAACGCACTAATACAATTTTCTAATCAACAAACGCACTAATACAATTTTCTAATCCACAAACGCACTAATCCAATTTTCTAATCATTTCGCACTAATTGAGGAGACGACACGACACATCCTCCCCCGGCCAGTGTCTCATCCACACTGACGGTCCTGGATGAGGCTCCCTCGGATGGCTCACATAGTTGCTTACGGGAAAGTGACGTCACACAATCACTTAGTTGTTTACACTTCAGTTTATTGCTTTCTATACATCACATTGAATTGTGTTAAAATATTACGATTGTTGTTAAACTAGTGAAACAACTACAGTATATATAATTGTAAGACTATCGTAACTATATTTAGTTTGTGTATCTATACACACACACACAATTATATATATATATATATATATATATATATATATATATATATATATATATATATATATATATATGGCCAGACTAACGAATATAAAGTATGTCGTTTGGCAGAGATGGTTGAGAAAGCCAGTAGGCTACAACCCTCCCTCTTGCATTGACACCTGATTGACTAAATCTAATTGCCTTGGTGCTTGGCTCAGCCCATCATCCTCCACATGATCCCTGGATGCTCCTCTGAGCCAGTAAGCAGTCCGGTCATGGTGGTTACTAGTAGAAAGTACAGTATGGGGTGGTGTATCGCCTCACACTAATAAGTGCCGTCGCCCCACACTTACAAGAGCCAATACTCCGCTCAACATACTAGAAAAAGAAATACCCCACACACCAAACACTAATATGTGGCATCGCCCGACACTGCACACTAACAAGAGGCAACACCTCATACTAACAAGGGCCAACACTATCAGTGCCATATGCTTCATTGACTCGGTATTATCGTGAAAGATGGTATCGCCCTGTCTTCAGTCTCAAGATACCAACCTCCACACACCAGTGGAGGTGGACCTGGGCGCGTACACTTAGTTCCCGAAAGAACTGTATACAAGGTTCTCCTTGTAGTACAGTTGGCTTCATTGTCGAGTCAAGAGTCGGGGGATCCTCGGTTCGATTCCCGGGCGGGACAGATAGGGTTGGATACGTTTCCTTTCACCCAATGCTTCTGTTCACCTAGTAGATAGGTACCCGGGGGTTCGGCAACACAAATTTCAATAACGCAGCTGTGAGTTAAGTAGTAGTTCTCGACAGTGTTTATGTTCTACGTAATGGTGCACTACTGTCTCAGGAAGTGTCTTGTGTCTCTTGTGTTGTATAACAAGCATGTTCCGAGCGCTGCCTGTCACTCATCTTATTTCAGAGTGACTGACAAGCAGGCGAAGTTAATAAATTACTTGCTTGAGCATTGCTTGATTATTCAAGCAATGTTTGTTTGCAAGTAATACCCCCCCCCCCAAAGCGTGGTGATCAAGTGTACGCACCTAGATGTGCTTGCGGGGGTTGAGCTTTGGCTCTTTGGTCCCGCTTCTCAACTATTAATCAACTGGTGGTTGTAGTCTGGTGCTGACAGTTCAGGCGCCACAGTTACAGTTTGACCGTTACCATGGGAGAGAAGTTACAGTATATGGGATTAAATTCCACTACTTTGGTGGGAAAGGAACTTTTAGCACCAAAATGACTTAAGAGTCAGGTACACAAGGAGCTGCAGAATTCATTCCATGGGGCCCTATCAAGACCTCGAACCTGGGCCATCGAGATGGCGATGACCCAGTTTCGATTATTGGATTTATTAATTTTCACTTGAAATTTTCAGAATTATATTGAAATATACACACACTTGAGTGCTGTTGTAGGCACTTTCCATCACTGTGTCAGACAGACATTGTAATTGTTTTAGTCTTACACACTGCCGCAAGAAGATGGGATGGGCGGACCCCGCGTCCCTACCCTCTCCACGGACACAAAATTAAAAACAAAACCAGGCAGTGCCTGCTTAATAATTAATTTTTTTTACAACAATATCGATTAGTGATAAACTTGTCAATTTCTAATAATATTATTTTTCCGAACTGCAGCGACACAACACCACCTCTCACGACGAGTGCCACGCGCACACTGACAGCGTG